CCTGCCCTGCGCGGCGCGGGACCCATGCGCTCGACACCGCGGCCTACATACATTACCTACCTAGGAGTCGGGAATATGTGACACGCGACTGGGACCTGTCTCTTATACACATCTAGATGTGTATAAGAGACAGGGGCAGGGGCGGGGGTGTTTTGGCGGGGCCGGGGGTCTGGTAGCCCCGCGGCGGGGGTCGGGGGTTGAAACCCCTACCCCGGCTTGGGCCCCGGGGATCCCCGCGTGACAGCCCTGGTTTTGGGCCTACCAGTAGAAGCAGAGAGCAAAACCATGCAAACCTTTGCCACCAGAATTCTTTTTGCATTTCTTTTTCCTTTCTATACCCCCCCCCCCCTGACAAGACAAGCACTCAATCTACACCGCTGATTTTCCAAAATCTTTTGCCAATACTCCTGAGTGTGAAAAATCATCAGATTCAGCACACTCAAAATTTCACGCAATGCCGCTGACCCCCCTCCCCCACGACCACGAGAAAGACCCATCTTGCCGCCAGTGCCTATACTGATTCAACCTTCGGAATCCAGCGGGAGGACTAGTGGTTTAAGAGCATTCCAGAGGTCACTGGAGTTTGTGGGAGTTGAGTTTAAGCCCCCACTGAATCCCAACAGCGCCGACAGGTCAACACGGGAGGTTCAGCCAAAAGAGGCTTGGATCATGTTGGATGCAGTGGTGGGTTAATTCAACTGACAGTCTAACACAGCTAAACACCCAAAGCTGCATTACCCAATGAGAAAAAAGCACTCATACCCGAGACCTGAAACAATTGAGAGAACGAAGATTAGAGGAAGGAGAGAAACACACCTTCAGATGATGTTCGGCACTGTGTAAATGACTTTGCAAGCTTTGCAAATACTCCTTGATCGAGATGCCCCTAAAGCAAAGTCAGATAAAGAATGACAACACTTTAATTTAGCAAACAGAAGTGAACTGTTCCCTCCCCGTATTCTGCGAATGGTCAACTGAGCATCCTTCATGCAATTCTTCCATCGGCTTTTCTCTCATTTCTTGATTGCAAAAACCCTCAACAGTATTTGAACAGTGTTCAACCTACCAACTCATCTCCCGCATCTCGATGAATATGAATACTCTCCCTATTTCCCCGTCCTGTGACCCCCTCCCCAGACCTTCCCTCCACAGGCCATGTGGGTCTGGACCTGATTTTGGGCACCCCCATGGACGGATGCCTCATTTTGGGCATCCACAAGGCACGTTACAGTTTCTGGCCTCAGTTAACTCTTTCCGGGAGTATTCTCTGTTTTTTTTTTTCCCCGTCTGATTCTAAGTTTTGCTGGACCATGCCCGACACACACCATGCTCACGCCAGATGCAATGCACACAACAGAAGGCGCAAGATGTAACTCGAAGATAGTGTGCACCAATCAACTTAATTACACAGAAATATCTTTGTAAGGGAGCTGCGGCTAGGGCCGCCTGCAAGCTCTCTCAGGTATGGTCGCTCTCTCCCTCAACCTCACTTCTCCCCGCCCATGGTCTCTCAATCTCTCAATACCTCTCCCTCCCTCTCTCTCTCGTAATCCAGCTATGAACTAATATGCTGGCCCCTGCCGTTGACTACAACTATCATCTACCAAGCAGAGCACTTCACAGTATCCCAAAATAGTGCAGCAGTGCTTCCGGATGGTCTCGCAAGTGAATATGAACTGATGATTTGCACGACTGGACTTGTGTACTTGAAGATTCGCCTTCCAGACTCCCCGACTAGTTATGGGTCCGGTACCCTGGCGATGTTTGTTGCTTCCAGAAAATTTGCAGACTTTCCTGGGACTTCGCTCCTGCCTTGACTGGACTGACAAAGAGGCACTAACGATGTTTATTTAGGTGTTCATCAAAACTAGACCCGGGCTTGGGCCTAGCATTATTGGTTACAGTATCGAACTTTCATTTGGGAGATTTAGGGATCGAGACCAGCAAGCAACGGCGCAGGAACAACGGACCGGTATGAAGGAGATCGAAGGGTTGAGGGCCCGGCAGGGCTATCCCCCTTGGTTTTCTAAATATTTTCATCATTGCTGTAATATTATTATTTTGCTCCGGCGTTCTTTGACTTAGACGCCACGCTGGGCCTAGAGGCCGTCGCGGCGGTCGAGGGCTTTGAACGGGCGCATCCTTTGTGTTGACAGACTGTTCGGACCCCTGCGTGCTCAGGATATTGACAGAGCTCCTCTATTTTCACCCGTCGGGAATCATGAACCGGGCCCACGAGCCTGAAGAAACCTGAGTGGCAAGTGCGAAGTCCGTCGGCCGCCTACCACGATATGCTGTGAGGGGTCTGTGTGAGAGCATACCCGCGGTAGTACTGAGTGGGCTTGCCGTGCATAAGTCCTTCAGGACATCTGTTAAAATTGGAACGATACAAAGAAGATTAGCGTGTGCCCCTCAGGGCGCTGTCTGTTGGGCCGCAGACTACTTGCCTGATCTGCTGGGAGAAGTTTGAGTGTGAACATGCCCGCTGAAACCCGCAAGATGGTGAACTATGCCTGGGCAGGGACCCAGAGACACCGGTGCGGAGGCCGCAGAGAGTGGCCAGTCATATGGGATCTCTCGCCACTTCAGTCTCTAATGTTCTTGCCGGGAGGTTTGCTATTGCCACCAAGGTCTGCAGCGGGCCCGCGCCTTCCTATTCGACGCTGCATTGGACCCATCGGGACGACCGAGGGTGGGTCGCGTGTCTTAGCGTTATACTCTGTTGAGCCGATCAATTCGGCAGGTGAGTTGTTACTCCATAGTGGTTTTCGACTTTCGCTGCCTCGACCCTGCAGTATGTGCTGGCCAGTACCCCCTGTGATGCCTGGGTCAGCGCATGACTGGCATTGAGGAAGCACCGAAGTGGAGGCTGCTACGACATCGGTGCGTGGGCTGTTCGTCGGGTTTGGGTGTAGTGGCGAAAGACTAATCAGCCCGTCCAAGTAATGGTCACTCTTCGCAATTCCTCGCAGGGTAGGCAGAATTAGCGACTAGTCCTACCGCTTGGCTGTTGACGGAGCGCTACATTGAAAGCATACATGCGGCGCATCGCGATGCGCTGCACTGCGCACGTGCGCCGCACCGCGCATCCCACACGACGCGCGCGCACTGCATGCAGCGCACCTAAAAAAATGGGGGTCAAAAAAAAAAAAAAAAAAGTTGTGAGGGGCGGTAGTAGACCCAGCCCCCTGCTCGCATAAAATAAGAAACGGGCAGCCAAATTTTTTTTGGAGGCCGCGCATTGGCCTGAAAGTTTTTAGTAACCTGTAGT